GTGTTTCCAGGCTTCCAAGGCTGGAGCGGCGCTCTCTTTGTAGGAGCGGATGCTTAGTTGCTTTCCAGGCGTCATGTTGCGTAGCAGCACACTATACGCCATGAGGAACTCGCTGTAGTACTGAGCCCTAGCGTCGTCGGTGTCTTCCACCGGTTTAGGATAGGAGCCGTCGAAGTAGTGGTAGATCTGCGCTGTCTGTAGGAGGAGCTCAAGCTCAAAACTCCATGTATAGAAATCTTTGCCGACAAATGCGGCAGTAGTCTTGATTTTTGAAACGCTGAGGAAGCGTGCTTGCGCAGAGTTAATGACTTCATCACTTTGACGGGGGGCAGTTTTTGTTGATTTGTCTGTGTCGAAGGAGAAGGTGTGCACGGCGGTGTCACGGCTTTTCGTAGCCGGTTGTCCAGGTTGTGCTGGTTGGGAAGAGGTTCCCGCATCGCCTTTGTGCAGATCTTGGAGTTCTTTCTCCATAGTTGAAAGTCGAGCGAATAACTGCTCGAGTGCGACAGTGCCGATCATGGTTGTCGCCTCATTTGTCGCAGCCGGGTTGGTTTGTCCTTCGGCCGTCAGATTTGCTTGGCCTCCGGATCCTCCGGCCATCTTGGTCTTGGAGCGTGTGCCGTTCGCCAGATCTTGGTTCGGCAAATTTCACGGAAGTGATGTTGCAAAGAATCCCTGAGTAGCTCTCATACAATGTTACAATCCCAAGTGGGACTTAGCAAAGGATCGCTCAGGATTGATCGCAGAGTAGTGTTGCAGCGGAAGCTTGAATCTCAGGTCAGAGTGAATGTAAATGACTGAGTGCCGCTCGCGTCTGGTCCAGGCCGGTGTGTAACTCCGTAATTTTCCATACGGAATTATCACCGTTTTCCTCCATTTGGCGATTTATAGGAAGATTTGCGACGAAAATAAATGAATTTTAGGCGCTGGTCATCTTACTGTGAGTCGAGTTGACTGCAGAAATGACGAGGGCTGATTCTGTAGGTCGCGTAATTCTCCCTTAGTCGAAATTCGCGTCTGATCTCGGCCGTTGAGAAGAAATTCGATCCGACGCTCCAAATTCCAACTTTTTTGGGCGAAATTTCTCGAGGCCGTTGAGATTCGAATCGATCCGACGGTCGAAATTCCAACTTTTTCGCCACTGGACCTGAGGAGTGTTCGAAAACCGGTTCGAGGGGGACGTTAAAAAATAGCGCGGAACTGGTTTACGTACCCGTAATCGGCGCTTTTCGTCGTCGCCCCCGAGGTTTTAAAAGCTAGTTTTCAGCGGTCGAAAAACTTCGCTCCTAAACAGGCTCTGATTACCAAGTGTGAGGAACTAGGATCGAGCTCAGAAAAGAGAGATTGAATTGAATTGAATGATCACCTGGGTACAACACGAGGCTATATATAGGCTCGACACAAGGCCCCGTAACCAGGTGTTACGCGAAGGTTCCGCGGGTCGCGAAGCGTCCCGAACAGTTCCTTCCCGAATTCGGTAGAAGGCAATTCGGTGGCAACCGAAAAGCCAGAATTCGGTGCACGCAACCTAGCTCGGTGCTATAACTATAATAGAATATAGGAAAGCACCTAGCCTAGGAAATCAAGCAATTCATGCATGCATATACTTATCCTATGCTAGAAATAGCATAATAAAGTAAATGCAAGCAAGCATAGCTGGCATAAGCCGTCGTACTCTCACAGTAGCCCCCCTCCCCCCTCAGGGTCCTGCTCCCTCAGGTGTGTCTCAGGTAGACCCGCTCCCCGTGGCTAAGCCTGTCGAGGTCGCTGTCGACTCTGGTGCTGCTAGGGGTGGTGCTGCTAGGGGTGCTGCATCTAGGGGTGTTGAGCCTGAGCGTGCGGAGCCTGGGGGTGCTGAGCTTGGTTTGCTGCGTCTGAGGGTGCGGAGCTTGGGGGTGCTGAGTCGGAGAAGAGGGGGAGATGGAGTGGCAGCAGCAGGAAGACCATCAAAGTCAGCCCAGGTAAGAGAAGGAGGCGGAGGAGAGGGGGAAGCTTTGGAGAAGGGGTAGAAAGGGTGAGATACATCAAAGAAAACATCCCGGCTGCGATAGAGCTTGTTGGTGGGAGGATGAAGGAAGAGGTAATCTGGCGAGTCTGAGTTGTTGTTGTTGTTGTTTTTTTTTTTTTTTGAAAGTGTACACCACAAACATAAGTGCTTACTAACAATAGCGGTCGTAACCATGCGTGAGCGAGCAGAGGCTGTCTGCTCCAATGAAGATTCTAAGGTGGGTTATACACTGTCCTAGGATTGGTCCAGATGGACTCAAAGCATCTGGTCCATGTCCATCTGTTATCGTGTGCCATCCGTATCTTGCCCAGCATACATTGCTCCTCCAGTAATCCCTTCAGGAACTTGTCAGCATTCGCCGAATTTTTCCGCTTCTGCCATGCTGTCGAGCGTGCTTTCGTGTACACTCTTGCATGTTTCCAAAAAGCTATTAGGATCAGCCTCTGATTTGGCGCGTTCGGAATTTGCGCCCCGGAAAATTGCTTCACACCGCTCCTGCCAGACCTGATACAGTGTAATTGCGATGTTTGTTGCTTCGTGGAAGGCTGTGCTGGTCCCCGCCTTGCGCTGGACTGCGGTCAACCGTGCTGCGCTGGAGGTCGATGAGCATGTTGCTAGCTCTAGAACCATTGTTGTCGATCTTTGCTAGTGAAACTCTTGCAAAATCTCCCCGTGAATGTGCAGCAGAGAACACACAAACAAAAGACCAAGGAACGCAAAGATCAACCCCACACCCGTGCATAGCCCGTAGTCTAGCTCTCGTTGATTTAGTTATCTTCGCAAATACTCCATCCTCGAGTCGCGCTCCGCGTTTCATGGTGAGTGGTGTGTTGCCTGATATTGTTTGCTCCCACCGAATGCAGAGTAGGTTGTGCCTGGGTTGTCGTTTGCTGCTCCTGACGAGCCTCTCCCGTGCGGGCCTCCCCATTTATTGCAGATAACAACGGACGCCCTTGCACTTGGGGCGGCTGCGCTTGCAAAAGCCTGCCCAGGAGGGGTCCTGGGCGACCAGGCGCCAGCCCTGCTCCAGGCCGCCGCGGTGCTGGCCGGGCGCGGAGCCTCAAGGTCTTCCAACGGGCACTGTTTGCATTGCCGAGGGTCCCGTGACCCTGTGTACATCTCCTCCCAGACGCACTCATGCGATTCTGCGGTCGCAACAGCAGCAGACGTTTCGGCACACCCAACGTCTGCAAAACCTCCTGCCTTGCCCTGTTCCCCGTGATGTTCCTCTGCGGTGCTTGATGAGGCCTGTCTACATACCCTGGTCTACGGTAGTGGACAGGCCTGGAACCAACAAAGGCCACACGCTCCGCTTGATTAGTTTAAAAGGGAGCGGAGCAGGCGACTGGCTTCATGCAGTGCCGACGAGAGGTGACCTCTCCATTTCCCCTGGTCAGTTCTCATTGGCCCAAGTATGTAGACAGGCCTCATCAAGTAGTGCAGAGGAACATCACGTGATGTTCTCATTGCCCTCGTGATGTTCCTCTGCGCTGCTTGATGAGACCAGAGACCAAGTCCTTGGGGGCCCTTTCTCTCTACAGCACTGGCCTGGTTACTATATTGTCAGTGACCCATGTTTCTCTAAACTTTGGGTCTCTACTTGCTAGATCCGCCCGCCCTCTTACGGTTGAATGGGGGTGAGGATAGGGAGGTCTCATGATAGGTGATGCATCCCGCCTCCCAAACCATCTGCAAATTTGCATATACTAGAGCGCTGTGGGTCCTGACCACATCCCCGCAGTTGCCACAACGGAGGTGGTTTGGGAGGCTTGGATTGGTGTTGGTCGAGCCTGTGCGTTTGCAATGGCAGACGTCAATGACGGCGAGATTCGTGTTCGAGCCGAAGCTGAGGGCCATGGAGAACTGGCCCGAGGAGGTTGAGAGGTCAGCTCTCGTGGGGACGCATATAGCCAGTCGACCACCCCTGCTGCCTTTAGGCTGATTAGGCGCAGTGCATGCCTGTTGTCAGTCATTGACTTGTCCAGCTGTGTATCAGCTAACAACTCCGTGCCTCTGGCCTGGTGGATGTTTTGGGAGAGTAGGGCATGCAGATTACCCTCACTGGGTGTGACCTGAACTGGAGGAGGGCCTCCTGAGCCTCGGCAGTCAGGTCCGCTTCGAGTTGGGAGAGGGTGTTGATGGCCGGTGGAGGCGGCGTTTAGGTATGGAAGAGTGTCAGAGGTCCACTGGAGATTCCTGATCAATCCTAGGGAAGGGTTACAGGTACGTTGGCCTGGGGGGTTATGGGCGCACTCACCCGCTACGCAAACAAGCCCTTTTATCCCAGTGGTTAGTGACTGGGATTCTGACAGAGAGGGGGGTCACTGTGTTGAGGATCTGCTCTGGAGGCAGGTTCATGATTGAGTGATATGCAAACTCTGAAGGATCACGAGAACGGCAACACAAACACTGCTGTCAGACAATACCTAGTGGCAGTCCAACGATCCAGTTATGGGTCTTCATGATAAATGTCTTTGTTGATGGTATGCAGCCAGACCAGAACGATCATAAGCTACACAAGCTCGCTGTCATGTATGGCTTTTACCACCTGTCCATCTGTCCCACCATCCCCACCCGTCTTGCCCCTCCCCCCCCCCCCCCACAAGAAACGTGCTTCCCTGCTTGTTGCAGTGCTGGGGGCAGGTGCCACCGCAGGTTCAATTTTAGAGAGGGTAGGACAGCGAGGATGTGGTGCGAGGGGGAGGCGGTGTAGGAGGGAGTGAAGAGGAGTCACATCAGGAGAATGAGGATGAAGGATGACCTAGGGTTGCATGGCGGGTTCCAGTGAGGATAGGGTGCGTGATTGTGGGGCATCAAGTGCAACAATAGCAGGGGCAACAGAGGCTGGGTGGGTGGCGCCACTAAAGGAGCTGTGGGAGACGAAATGGCTGAATCAGCAGAACAAACATCTCCGCTTTTACGATACACAGTTTTGAAAACTCCATGTTTCACACATTCTAATGATAAATTTAAAGAACTAGAGTAAATCATATCACGGCACACAAATAACCTTTCCTCCTACTGTTCCAGCACAAGCGTTACCGTTGTAGTCTGCAAACGCCGCACTAGCAGCAGCTCCTCCACCATAAAAGCGGTAAGCACCTGAACATGTCAACGTTGGTGCAACTCGCTTGGCCCTCCCCTTGTTGCACAAACCTAACTGGAATGACCAATACTCTGCGCTGAGGCAGATCTGGGATCGCAAGATGTATGTAACGAATGTGCATGAAAGTGTTAGCATGTAGAAGACACAAAACATGAAAGGGATATTCTGACAAGGAACGCAAGACAGAGGCAAGGGCAACGTGTGCTCGGCGAATCTTTGCATGGAAGTGGAAGCAAGCATTCTGTAATGATAGCTCCTTGTGGTTGAGTGCACAGAAGATCTATTCCTGTTATTGCTCTCCCATCTTTGATTCTTTCCTCCCCCCTTTCCAAAACCCCCATTTTCACCACCTTCCGCACACCCTCTCCTCATACTCACAGCCCTCACCTGTACGCCAATCCTGCTGCCTGTCGCGTAGGCAGAGGAAGGGATGGTGTTGGAGCAAGTGAGGCCGGGATTGTTGCGGTACAGCGCAGCCCATGGGTTCTCACTGGCACCCCCTTGTGTAGTGCCACCCGAAGGGGGGACACTCGTGCTGGTCCTCTTAAGCAGCTTCTCGCACGTGTCTTGCGGAGTGAGCGTGCCGTATCTCACACACTCAGGGACGGTGAAGGCGAAGGCATCACTGCGCTCGAGGCACACAGAGCGGCCCGCCTTGATGGGCTTGGAGCAGTCAAGTCCGGGGTTGAGATCAGCGAGATCAGCTTCAGTGAAGTTGAGCTGCCTGCTCATGGATGCACAGGTGTCCCCCTGGAGAGTTGGGCAGAGGCAGGGATGTTGATGGTTGTTGCTTGCTCCATGATCAGTGACATAATGCAATGTGCTTAGTGAGAAATGATGCTATGTGTTGAGATGACTATGCCAGCTGGTTGTGTGCATAGTTTGACTGGGGAAAGAAAGGAAGAGGTCTCACATTAAGGGTGTAGAAGAAGGCAGTGCAGGGTGTGTCGGGAGTATTAGCCAGCTGAAGGACACTGCCCTTGAGCAATGGCTGGCTGCAGTCGATGCCCTGCATTCGGAAACACATGCATGAATGAGAGGTTTGTACTAAACTCGACAAAGGCCAGTCTTCCTCTCCATACCGGGTGCAGGAAAGTAAGGCTCTCATACCAAAGTACCTCATAGCGAGAAAGAAGAAAAGGGAAAAAACAAAAAAAAAAACCCTGTCAATGATGGTTGAAAGTGTTACGTCAATGATAGGAGAATGAAAGAACGTCTCATCGAGTTAAAACAGGACCCTGCAAGGGTGAAAGGAGGATATATACTCTAAACAGAGGACATGCTGCTGGGAACCAACCGGCAGTGCAGAGAGAACTCAGGGGTACGTTGAAGCAAGATCCAACGGATGAAGTGATGTAAAAACAACCTGATATAGAAAATATGAATGATGGTTTGTATAAGTCACCTCATCTTCACCCACCGCGTTTTGGTCAGTGAAGTCAGTGAGTGAGAGGTCAACAAGTGGATGAACATCCGAACACAACCAGTTGTCTCCAGTGACTGTCATTGTGGTGGCTGTGGTATTAACTGCAGGCAAGAATGGGGAGTGAGATGCAGGCAAGAAAGGGAGAGAGAGAGAGAGAGAGAGAGAGAGAGAGAGAGAGAGAGAGAGAGAGAGAGAGAGAGAGAGAGAGAAGATCTTCAACGTAATGCCAACACCTATTGCTGCAAGTTCGTCATGAAGGTATAGCACACAGAAAAACTCAATCAAGACCACAGACATTCTGGGAGGCAGCTACTTGGGCTGCTCAAGCATCACCTGGATCGCAGGTTGGGAAGCCGTAAATGGTTATGCTTTCTACGTGATTGGGAGGGCAGATGCAGGAGTAGGAGCCCTTGCCATCGTTGATGCATGCTCCCACGTAGCAGGGGTTCTTGAAGTATGACCCACACACGTCCACTGCCACACGTGTACCGGGGAGGCGGATAGAACAGACAATGGGGAAAGAGGCAAGATAAGGGGTAGATTTGAGAAGGAGAGTAGAGATGCAGAAGTAGTAGATGTGCGAACTTTGTTGAAGTTGAGAGGAGGATCTTAGAAAGGTTGGAAGTTTGGGAAATAGTGAATGCATTAGAAAATGCAAGAGCCCAAGATACGAAAGCAAGGGTAGGAAAATTTGCTGCACCGCCAAAAAAGGTTGACATTATGTATGCTGAGGCTTCTTACAGACACGAAAATGGGGCAATGGGGAGGAGAGAGGGGATATGTGGGCAGAATAGAGCGGGAATATGAGATACGAAAGGGGAGATTGCAGTGAAGAGTGGAAAGAAAGGGGGAGACGAAAGAGGTGAAATGGGGAGTAAGAGAGGGGAGTCAAGTAACCAGGTCAACGCAATAGCAAAACTGTCCTTGATGATGATAAGAATAGCATTGGCTAGTGCTGCTGCGTCAGCATTGCTCACCATGTTCACATAATAAGTTGACCTGAGATTCACATGGCGATCATACCTGCTGGCCTGCACTACTTATCACATTCATTTTGAAAATGCTCGAAAGTGTGGAGGCGTTTCATTGCCACACAGGCTAGGCCAAGCATAGTGTGGTATCAGTAGTGCAACCTCATTGCTCTACTTGCAACTGGACATACCATAAGCACATGTGGTGAAGCCATCTCCATTCACCACCTGTACAAAAGGCTGCACAGTAGCGGTGGGAATGTTGCAGGTGCAGTTATTCGTGCTCTCTGCTGTCACGCCACATTTGAATCGGCCACACGGATTCATAACGGGCTGCGGCCGATCTCCCTGGTAGCTGCTTTGACCACAGGGGTCCCCTGGAACTGGGAAATGATGGAGAGGAGAAGATACACTTGAAACACGTTGATGGAATTGGGCAAATATTACTCTCCGTCAGTTTGATCCAAGCATGTTTGAGTCACACAAAACAGGGGCTCAGTATGGTTCAAAACTATCTGTAGACACAAGCAAAAACCGAGTTGCAATTCGGTTTGTGTATGCTCCAACTTGCAAAAACGCTTCACAGGTTGGAGCAGTTATGTTTGGTTCAACCAGGGAAACACATGCTTTCTATCTCTTCGAGCAATCTAATATTTCTTCCTGTTTTTCTCATTTCCACCATCCATCACAATCAATACAACTACCGGGTAAATGCCTCACTCTTGACAACGGGGTAGATGCCAGGCAGCACGTTGATGCCACACACGCCATCCCCTCCCTGAATGTCCATGCGTATGTGACCCTTGTCGCCCCACTCCTCTCCCCACGAGTTGCGAATAATCCAAAACGGAGGAGCAATGCGGTTCTGGCTGCCGTCATTTCTCGTAATGAAGTACCCAATAACGAGTACAACATGGTTGAGACTTCCTGTATAGCAATCAGGATCCTGGTATTTGTATGTCTGATGTGGCATGGGGTAGAACCAACCACAGAAAAGGCAAAAAGCACGAGTTCTTTTGCCAGAGTCAAAGTGGACGTTCAAGGAGAGATTAGCTCTGTATATTCCTGAGTTTTTTCAATTAAATTCTGGGTGGCCATTCACAAGGTGACAGCACGACGGTATGCTGAATGAGGGCTGAAGTGGTTCACTCACCCCATCATACATCACGAACGTGGCAGCAGACGCCTGGATGTGAACCACCACTGGCTGGTTCTGCACTGCCATCATGAGCCCCACATACCCCTTGAACCGCGCTCGCTCGAACGACTGCACCGGGTACGTTGTTGCCTGGGATGGGCCAGGAGATTTGCATTGGGAATGGGGTAGTAGAGGGTGGGAGGGAGGAGAAGAGAGAGAGTTATGGAGTGTGAATGAATAAAGGGGACAGAATAAAGAAAACCCAACATGTCTCCAACAAATCGCTGTCATAAAGTTTGAAACACACTAGAAGTTTGGTTACTCTGGGAAAAATGGCCTCGTTTCCTGAAAAAGACACTTCTGTTACAAGCTAGAATAACCTACGAAAAGCAAACAGTGTTGAGTCATGAATAGCAAACGGCTCTCATATCGCCAACGCGATTACTGGCGCGAGTACAGCTTCATGCCTATATCTCACGGCTAATTCTGTTTGCCCTACCGGGTCACTGTCCCCTGTGAGCCCACTGGAGGCATCGAGAGCCACAAGCTTCTCAAGGGCCTGCGTGGGGGAGCCGCCAGCGGAGCACTTGTCGGAGTCGGAGAGCCCCATGAGGGCGAAGAGCGCCTCCACTGACAGTTGAGGGGCGCTCTGCTGCTTTGCAATGCCGTATGCCGCCTCCACACTCGCCACCACCGCATATGCCCAGCACGCATCTGAGAGGAAGGCGAAGGTGAAGCAAGGTGAGCCATGCAAGGAGTGTGGAGAAGTCTCTGATGGCACATACCATGTTCACATCGGTCTGTTCCTACAGTTTTTCATTTCTATCAGTTGCACATCGCATGCCAGCCTATCATGTACAGCTTGCCGCCAAAACTAGTCGGCAAAACGTCGGAAGTGCAGCGGAACAGAAAATTCGTGCAAGAATCTGAACTGGAAACCCACGATCCTCTTCCCACTTACTGCAGTCTCGCTGGTTCTTGACAGGCCAGCCAAGGAAATCCACAGAGTCCCACGTGTGGAAGTCACGAAGCCTCCACGCGTCCTTCTTGGTGGCCGAGAGCTCGAAATCCGAACTCACGTAGCGCGAAAAGGGGCTGCCTCGAGACGGTGCAAATGTGTCCTCCGATAGCGAGAGGCCAAGGGCTGTGAGGGGCGAAATATGTTAGAAAAAAAGGGAATATGGGTGAAGAGTAGTTGGGAACACGCATGTCGCATCTCTGGATTGGTGATGCCACAGTACTGGCTGAGCCACGAATCAATTTGAGAGACTGGATGACCCCTGCACCTGGGACACCGGCATCGAGCAACGTTCTACCATCAAGCACCCTCTACTACTTTTCACAGCCTCCGTCGGTCTCCCCTAGTGACCCACAGTAATAGCTAGTTAGATCATGCGGTGGTGGTTGTGCTTGTTTCTTGCTGCCTCTAGCATCGGACCAGGATGGCATTGCCAGACTAGATAACTAAAAACTTATCGATGTCAGACAACGGAAGCGAGGTGCACCTCCTGTAGCTGCCACGTGGCAGGGAGCTCACCTTGATCTTTGAACAGGACGGCCTTGACCTTAGGAATGCCTGCAGGGAGATTCAGCAGTCATAAGAGCAGCCATCAGGTGGTGGTTGACTCGTTAATCACACAAAGAGCACCTCATAAAGAGGTAGCAATGGCAGGATCATTCTCATTAGCCACTGCCAGTCATTATCTACAATGCACAACATCCCAGTCTATCATGACACACTGACAACGCCAATGTGGTTGCCCTATCCTGTAATGTTCAACTCAAAATCAATGGCAGAACACCAGAGCTACCACCCCCACCACCTTTTCTTCACGCTTTTCTCACTCAATTAGTCGTGGCCATGATTCCCATGCATCACCCCTGAAACATATGCTTGCCTGTTTGCACGGTGGAGGAGAGAATGCCTAGCCGCTGGAAGGGATTCACAGTGGTGGACGCAACGAACCCAAACGAGAATGCCGGCTGCTTCACTCCCGGCTGCAGGACCGCACACAGCGACACCCTCCCCAGCAGCAGTGGCTCGTCTGGCTTTGTATTCGAACTGGCCAGGAACACTTGAATGGTGCCGGGATCCCCAGGCTCATAGTCCACCCACACCTTGTATGAGTCGCCATCGGTCAGTGTGAATGGAGACACCTCCTTGACCAAACACTCCTCTGTGCCGTTGATGCACAGCCCCACGTGCTGCTCGCCCACATCATTCGGAAGCGTGTCAAAGACAACGGCTATGCTCCGAAGTCCCAATCCACTGTACCCCACACCAGCAGGCTTCCCCACCTTGGGCTTTGCTGCTATGACAAGTGCAAAGCCATTGGACCCAGCAGTACCAAACTGGGGCATGAGAGAGAAGGTGAAGTTGACTCTGAACGCCAACCCCAAGCCACATCCCGAGGTAACACCACGCTGGTAATGAAACAGGGTCATTGGCTTCGCCATGAACTTCCCCATTGTCTCCTTCTTCGTGCCCTTGGTGAGAAACGCGAATGGCGGGAGGATGTTCACCGTGGGCCCTGCAGAGTTGCAAGGGAGGTGCAGCAGGACATATCATGTGGTCAGTGTTAAGCGGGCAAAGGAGGTAGTGACGAATCTTTGGTGGTGGTTGCTAAGCCAATCAGGAGCATATGCTGCTCTCTGTGTATGTTGCACTTGTAATAGATGAAGCTTACCTACTGAAGTTAATGTCGGAAAGATTGCAGCAAAGACGATAAGGAGAGGAAAGGGTTATGAAGGGCAAGGAATGGTGCACAAAAGTGTTTCGTCCGTTCAACCAGTGACTATATTGCAAGTCTGACCTCAGAAGCAATTGAACTCGAACCGAGTAACGACTGGGCAGTTACCCGAACCGAACCGAACATGTGGAACCAGGAGTTTGAGGTTTGCTATATGTGGTCAAACTGCTACCGCTTGGAGTCAAAGTCTTTGAAGCTCAACTCGGCCCCACCTGTTTTGGTTCGGTTTGGCGGTACATTCACTATAGTCATGTATTTTCACGTTTTTGCTGAGGTTTTCCACTCTGTTTTTGTTGCTAGCTTTCAACCAAGTGTTGAGGAAAATTCGAACCAATGCACCAGAGCCAGCTCTAGTAAAAAGGAAATAAGTTTTTAATAGTCTCAAGTAAATCGCAAGAAGGTACTACAGGTATTCCTTACCTGGTGGCAGAACACAGTCGCCTCGTCCGTACCGCACTGATCCTGCACCACACGAGCACGTTGGCACCAAGCTGGGCCCGTCTGGGTAGCACACGCCACGACCACCACAGGCAGCAGTGGTTGGAGAGATGCCACAGAATGCCATGCACTGTGCTGCGGGTCGCTGCAACTCAGGACTGCAGGCTTTGCTTGGTGCAAAGCAGTTGGCAGCGATGATGTGTCGCTGGCAGTTTGGTGCGGACACAACACCCGACAGGTAGTTGTCGGACAGGTCCGCTGGAAGGAGTGGCGGGAGTTTCACCAGGGGGCCTGTGAGGTAGTTGTGAGAGAGATCGCTGCAGGGGAACGGGAAAAAAGGAACGGGAGGTTTACATTGTAGGCAGGTGTTAATCACACAGAAGTGTAAGTAAAATCAGAATAAATGAGAATAATAGTGTTACATGAGGTGATGGGTGGGTGGAAGTTGGGTTTGAGAAGAACAGGAATGCAGGGGGGAGGGGTAAGGGACGAGGATGAAGAGAAGAGGTGCAGGAGCAACGAGGGAGAGACTGTGGGAAGTAGAGGAGGGGGGAGGAGGAAGCAGTGGGAGTCAATTGTTGCATTGGACTGGCTTCAGTTAGAAGCACCTCTCGACAGCACAACAATAGGAGCAAAGCATGTGAAATGGTGGACACAACCAGCACAAATACTCTGCTTCAGATGCAGGAGTGTAAATGAGAGTGCACAAGATGGGGTGAACAAGCGTGTGGAAGAGTATAGAAATGTATGAGAATCGTATAAGTAGGAGCAAGAGTGGAAGGGCGCATGTGGATTTTTTTGCTGGCATCGTACAGGGTCTGCATGTCTGTCAGTTTGCTGAGGCTGGCAGGTAAGCTTCCAATGATCTGGTTGTAGGCAAGTGACCTGATGGGCGTGAAGGCGGACAATTGTCGAAAGGGATGGATGGCAGGCCTGAGAAAGAGCCTGAGCCGCCTCTTGACTCGCATTTGCAACAACCTGAGCAACAAGATTTTGCTTTCGACTCGACTTGCAGCAAGATGGACTAGAATCGCTAGCGGTGCCTTGCCATGCACAACTGCACCACGCAGGAGGGCTGATCCATCTGGGATTACTATATGTGGGTCCACAAGCCGCAGCACTGCTTGTCTCCATGGACGGTGACCCTAAGGGTTGAACGGGGCCCGATCAAGCTAAAAAAAGTTCCCAACTTTTTTCTATCCTTCAGTAGGCTAGACACGTTTCTTGCAGTCTCCTTGCGAGTGGTTTTATTTCAGTGGGATGGGATGGCGTGTCAACTTACAGATAACTCAATGCAGCCAGCTTGCCAATTTTAGAAGGAATCGTTCCGCTAAGACGATTTTTCGCCAGCTGTCTGTACATGCAATAAGACAGTTATTTCATACAAGCTGTGAGGTAGAATGCAGTGCTGAAAAACACATATTATGAGTCAAGAAGAAATTTGAGATCTCAAAACAAGTTTCAATACTATTTTTTTTTTTTCTTGATAATAGCTCGCACAAGTTGCTAAGTCGAACCTGGCCGATTTGAAGAAAACCAAAAACCGCATTCAACCGGCTCAATCTGATGTGGCTCGCCAATTGGTTCAACCAGGTGGGCAACAAAAATTTCAACCATCAAATCTCTTCGATGCGATCCAAACCGCGGGAGCGATTGTGCGCTGTGCGATGTGGAGTGCTAACGCATCAGAGGCCTGGGGTTCACGCGGCTCACAGATTAGCGAGAGACACAAGTGCAGACATTGTTTCTGGCAGGCTGCCTTCTAGCTCGTTTTGCTGCAAGAAGCTGCCATGCAGTGCCACAAAAAAAAACACAAAAAATTAACCCACGTGTGAACATGTGCACAAGGCCAGGAAGTCACTAGAAGCTTCAGACGATCTCCAGAAGAGATGAGGTTAATAAAAGAGGGAGGCAGTCTCCTTGCAGACAACGTAAATTTGATCTAAGGTGCTTCTCGTTTTACTCCTCTGCTGTGAGCAGCTGTGGAGGTCTGCGTTGGTACTTGGGACTCATGCGACCCTGCGCTAAAAGCGATGGCTGAAAGCCACATCCAAACTCTCTGAAAGCATACCCATGTTGCAACCTGCTTCATTGCTTAATGTGCACAAAAGGAATGAATGACCAGAGTCCGTAAACAGCAAGTTGAACCACACAAGAACGCCCCAAACATTTCCTCTCGGGGGTCAAACCCGCCATACCTGATCCTTTGAGTCTGCCAACCTAATACTTAATAACTCACTGCACATGGCGCACACATACTACCTCGATGGAGAGAAGATCATAACATAGGAAGGGGCATGGATGGGATGGAGTGGAGATGATCGGAATGCTAAAGAGTGGAGGCGAGGGGAAATACAAAAGGCAGAAACAAACCAGAAGGGACTTACAGCGCCACTAGATTCACAAGATTGCCGATTGCAGGCGAAACTGTGCCATTGAGCTTATTCTCATTGAGATACCTGTAATGATACATATACAAGAAACGCGTATGCAGTACATAAAAAGGAAGGGTTCAAGCTCGCACGGAAGAAATGAAAAGACAGAAAAGCAGAGAGGGGCCAACCAGATTGGTATGCCAACAATAACAGGAGAGCACTGAAGCACAGCGTAGGCACAAGGAAGATTCGAGCTTGAGCCGGTTCGGGTCAAACTTGGCCGAATTGGCAGGTCTAGTCAAACCGTCCCGGATGGGTTCGGGCAGAACCAGCTCCAGCTCACAATTTAACTAGACTGAGTGCTGGTCGGGTAGTTAAATGGACCCGACAATGGAGAACATCGGTGCGGGCTGGCATTGAGAGGAGACGAAGCGGAGAGGATACGTGCACAAGGGAGGGAGAGCACGGAAGAGAGCTTTGCAGGAAGCTTTACAGCCTTTGCAGGTTCGTAAGCTCGTAGAGTTCGTCCGGGATTGAGCCCGTCAGCTGATTGCCCGAGAGGAATCTGCAGCAATAAACGCAAATGAGCATGTGATACAGGGAGCGTATTCTGTGTAGACAGCAGCATATTCATGCGATCCGGTCTGAGCTGAACTCGAGCTTCAAACAAATTCCGTTTCATTTCGTGACAAAGCAGTTTGCGTCTAAGTAAACAAGGCACAATGCGTTGAGCTGATTTAACATCCCCAAAATCCTTGTGTGTTACCATACATAATCAGAGCAGATGAAACATCTTTAAGCGCACTGTTGGTGCTGGTGGTGGTAAGTGGAGCTGCTACGAGACCATTGAACGGATGGAAAGGAAAGCATCAGTGTGGACAAGTGTCAAGACGGCGAGAAGCGGTGGAGAGGAGAAGCGGTGGAGAGGAGGGGGCGCACAAGTTAGAAAGGACAGGCAAGCAACAGCTTTGCAGGACGCCTTACAGCATTGTGAGAGTTCTAAGTTCACTGATTGCAGCAGGAATTGAGCCATTGAGTTGACTGTTATAAAGGGATCTGCAAAAATGAACACATATGTGCATGCATGTGTAGTGGTGATAAGTGGACTTAATAGGAGAGGATGCAATGGAAGAAGAAGCAACAGAGAGAACATGCGTGAGGACTGGCATCAAGAGGAGCAGAACTGGTGGGAATAAAGCAATTGCGTTGCAGGAGACCGTACAGGCTTCGCAGTCTTGAAAAATTACTGATTCCATCGGGAATGGAGCCAAACAGCTTATTGTCTGCGAGAGATCTGCAACGATGGACAAACGGCCACATGGTAGGTAGATATTGGAAGCCAGTTATTCCATGGAAGTGGCTAGCATAGCAGCATATGAGATTGTGCATGCTGCATATGTAGCCATTGAGTGTGTAAACGTGTTTATATACTGACATTGTGGGAGGCCTTGTTGCGGACTAGCCTCGAGGGTAGGAGAAGTGGTGGAAGAGTGGAGGGGTGCAGAAGGTGGATCAGAGCGCAGCCAAAAAACAATGTTGCAGAAGGTCTTACAAGGATGTGAGTGCTTGAAGATTGCTCAATACATCTGGGATCGAGAAGCGGAAATTATTTTTGGTGAGATCCCTGCAACAATGAACACAGATAAGCATGTGGCGGTGGTACATGGACCATATATTCAAGAGAATGGAATGGAAGAGAGATTAACGGAGGCCATGGGTGTGGACTAGCATCAACGAGAGGCGCTCAAGATAGGGCAGAACAAAACAACGGGCTTGCAGGATGCTGTACAGGTATTGCAGGTTGGAAATTCTGCTGATGCCAATTGGGATGGAGCCATACAGACGATTCTGCAGGAGATTTCTGCAATGGCAAACACAAAGGGGCATGCGAGAGATAAAGGAATTTCAACTGAAGCCTGCATAGTAACCAGCCCACCCGTAAATAGGGGCTGGCTCGTGGCAACGTGGGGTCTTGTTGTCGTCATCTTGTCACAGGGCGATCTTTCTTAGGTCACCAGGATCGCAGCGAAGTTTACTCTTTTGCCACTTTGCTCGTAGTGCTTGTAGTCTCTTACAGGCAATCCGTGCTACAAATGCGCCATCCGTATCAAGTACTAAAAAAACAGCAAAGGATAGGGTGGTGGAAAGTGAACCTGATGCAAGAGGATGAAACAGATGAAGGGTCTATGGAGAGCATGTGTGTGGACTGGCTCGCATCAGGGGGAGGGGATTAGGTGCAGAGGAGAGACGCACAAGCACAATCAACCAAGAAGCGGCCTTACAGGAAGCCTTACAAGGTAACCAGGTTTCTAA